TATTAGTGAAGAGCAAGTACATGTATGTCACCGAATGATGAATGGAATTGAAAATCAGCTGAGAAGCAAATCATTCTCGAGTGTACCTGTAATCAGTTTCAGTTTTCAGGAAAAGTATTTGCCTACGAATGCTCTTATTTTGCATGTTTTCTTGTAATTAGTGATATTCTAGGAGTTACGGGTTACAATTCTATCGAAATGGGCCTGCAGCACATCTATTGTTTGTGCTAATCACTATGCTCGAATCCACTGCTATACTTTTTACCATAGAGGGCAGCAGAGTGTATTCTAGCATAGTGATCAACATAAACAGTACATTTGAAAGTACCTCGCAGTAGGCCCAGGCCCATAAAGTGTACCAATTCCAAATTTGTCTTGCAACAGCAATGAGTATCGAAACTTGTTGTGATAATACAGTAGGCGTGCGGGTGCACCATGTTGTGATTACTAATCAGCTTTTAAAAGAAGCACACGGTATTAAGAATAATAGACACTATTTTTTGTAAAAACTATTCGACCAATATATTGTGAAGAAGAATTTTTTTTTAAAGCTGTTTAATTTTTCTGATATTATCAGCGATTTGTTTTGTAGCCTGATTCTTTTATGCTGCATGGATCAAAATGGCGGCTTGCAAGTTTTCTTTCTATTTTTGCCTCGATATTTGACTTTGAGAGGCATGAGGATAGCACTTAACATTGCTAAGCATGGATGAACATAGCTTCATGTAAGATATATGCATGTATATGTTTGGCAGCTATAAGTGGTCAAATTTAAGCATCTTTAAAGGAACATTTAGAACTAATGGTAACAACAGTACTAGATCTAACAGATGTTTTCTGTTGTATCAATTTCGGGCAGGTACCTAAATTAAAAAGATAGTTGATATTCCTAGCCCTAACATGTAGGCTATCTCTATGAGTCTGAACATAATTTGTTTAATATCAGAAAAATATTGGCCTACATTTTCATAATATGAATAGGGCAAGTGTACATCACTCTCTTTTCCCCCAAAACACCAGGTAACTGAGTGTTTGCCCAGGAACTACTTACCGGTATAGACTTTCTATGTACATGTGGTGAGTAAGCCTTGTAATGGCTCTTCAATCAATGTTAAAAATACCAAGGCCTACATACAGACAACAGACTCACATTAAAAAAAATATATAACTAGATTTGTAATACTTGTTTGGAACAAGTATAAGTGGGCTGTTCCAACTATAATTTGAGACAAAATAAAGCAAAAATAAGCGAGATACTAGTAAAAAAAACAAATGTCATGTAGATTCATGATGTGAACGAAATTCACCTTCCATAGGCATAACACGCAAATTAAGAAACTTCTGAAATGTGGCCTTTAATCGAAATTTTCACTATGATGATGTCATCAAAATGAAAAATGGTGAGAAAAATGGTGATGACTATTAAAGCTTGTAGAGAATTGTAAAAGCTGAACATATCGAATTTTGGAAGAAAATTGATTAATATTTACAGAGATACAATCAATTTTTCATAAATATGCTGATGTCATAATATTCAAATTTGTATTTTGAGTTCCGAGGCCATTATGATGATCTCACTATACACTTAATGGCCAAATGAGACATAAAATCATATCTCCGACTCATACTCTATCCAAATATGGAAAAAATCAGGGATCCCTGTGCATCCCAAAGAGCTATAATGGATTTTGTATACCATATTTGCCGGCGATAAGGCCGCACCACCGCATAGGCCGCACCCCAACTTTGACATTTCAAAGAGAGAAGAAGAAAACAAAAGGAGAAAAAAAAACGAACGGACAAAACAAACAAACAAACAATAATTTTCTCAAAAACACTTTTTTTTTTTTACAAACTGATACCAAATTCATCAATATTCTTATAATTTACCGGAAGTTTAGCTAAAAAAGTGGTCGCAGGCAGATTTGGTGTCCGATATATACCCCTACCACAATGTATGGTGTAATGCGAAACTGCATGAAATGGAAAACATAATGGCGACTTTGGATGGATGTTCGCGGCAGCTCCGTTAAACGGTCCCTTCCTTTACTTTTGCAATGCATTGGCACAAACTTAGATCAAGATCTATCGGCAAATGTTGTGTTAGGACGTTTATTTTCGTCTTCATGTCAACAATGCAAGATAAAATTTTCGGTAAGATGTGTGGAAATGTCCTGTACCAAAGTGGTATAGTTATTTTACCGTTTGTAGTCCCATATGTGCAAATTCGTGCTGGTTTTGACTTTCGTTTTTTAAATTTTTTTTTTTACTCTTTCGCCGTAAAGGCCGCACCCCGACTTTTTGATATTTTCTCTTCCAAAAATACTGCGGCCTTTACGCCGGCTAATACGGTAGGCATGTTTTTTTTAAAAATACCGGTATATGCTATGTATTACAAGAGCTCGCACACATGGATATTTATCTTCAATGGACGCTCATCTCGTTATTAATGGTCATAAAGATATAATCATGGTATCAAATTGTCCAAAAAAATATGGGAAATATCATGAGAGAAAAAAAAAAAGCGATTCTATGATATGTAATGGTGTTACGCGCACAAACGCGCACACATGCACGTTTTTTAATGAAATGCTCAAAATGGCCTTTAACGTATGCAAATGAATTTGAGACGATTTTGAGCATTTTGAAATTTTGCGCACGTTTTTTGACCTGAAATTGGTCATGATAAATATGAATGAGAAATGACTTGGTTTTGAAGATATGATCAGAGTTGATCTTCAGAAAATTTCACAAAATGGCGCCTAGATGACGTCATCAGCCAAGGTCAAGATTGAAAACCTTACTGTGCTCTGTCCATATGCCTATACAGTTTTGTACATATATGTATGTGTGCCAAATTTCAAAGCATTTGATTAAGCTATTTTTAAGTTATCTTGCTAACAAAAAAGTGGTTAGAAATAGAAATAAATAAATAATCATAATGAAAGCAATTTTAACAAAAACATAAGGTGTTCTGTATTATAAACAGCCCACCTCAGCCACCTGAATATTTATTATGAATACAAATGTATGTGGAGCTCATTCTGGGCCAGTTCAGTACAAATGGGTGGAGCCATGCAGACAAATGGGTGGAGCAATGCAGAGAGGAAAACAAATACACAGTCAAACCCTGGAACTCCAGGGTACCCAAGGACATTGGTCCATTCCTTTGTATGCCAATTTAGAGGAGGAAGTATGTCCAAAGTGGATACACATTTGAAGCTACTTCCTTCTGTGTGCACTCAGACAGTAGTACCAACGGTATAAGTAACTCTGTCCTAACTGTGCTGCTGAAGTATGTCCAGTCATAGGTGTTCACACACACCCGCACACACATATTCAAAGAGTAAACAGGAAAGGTGGAACCAGCTTTTATCTCAAAATTTGCCAAAGTTACAACTGAATTTATATTTCCTGATTCTGTATAGGTCTATATACATATATTATAATTCTGCTTTTGTATATTGTACATTTTGTCTTTTGTTTAATATTACTAGGAAACATTCCCACAATCCAGCCATCCAGCTGCGAAGACATGTTTCAATAAATCTTGAATCTTGAATTAGCGAAGTATATGCAGCTTACAAAACAAGGAAATAATAACCCCCCCCCCCCAAAAAAAAAAAAACAACAACAACAAACAACAACAAAAGCCACAAGGCTAAGCATCACCTAGTCCCGAATCTGGCCCATTTAAGTTGGTCTTCACCACACCAACGTAATGCGACCTCCCCCTACTTACTTGCTGCCAGCCTAAGATGTTGTGATCCTTAAATTAAGATGCCCGGTGGAAAAATTATTAGGCTGGGCTGGTGAGCATAATTATTATTATTATTATTATAATTATGAGTTTGTTGATAACGCCATCTTCGGCAGCTTGAATCAAGTGTAGGGAATATAAAGAGGTATAAAGAACCTGCCAGATTCTGAACTAAGCATCACCCAGCAAGCATTCATTCGTAATTACTCAGTCTCTATGATAGTAGTGATAGGTACTATGTATTTTCTGATAAAGCCTCTTCACATATCACATGAACTTTTCTGAAGTTTGGAAAACACATTAAACTTTTAAGTCAACAGTTAAACAAAATTTAGTAAAGACAGGTTGTAATGTAGGTGGAAATAGTAAGGAGCAGTCAAATAAAGCCTCAATAATGAAAAATAAAAAGAGGCTCTAATTTTTGTGTTCATTATTGAGAAATTAAGAAAATTCCAAAAATATTAGCAAAGTTGAATGCAGTTCTGTAAAAACTGTAAACAAGGGAAACGCTCTAGGCGGTCTCGCCTGCATTACGCAATTCAATATGATGAAAAATTGAGGTTGGGACATTATTCATAGGCAGCCCCCCCCCCCCTCCCCCCAATGAAATCCTCTAAATATAATCAGCATTTTGGAGTGAATATTGACCAAGAGTCATCAGAAACATTATTTACTATAATTTGTACCAAGATTAATAACTTTCATGGAACATGAAGAAATAACAAATTTTATTTTTATTTTTAATCCTCACATACTGACCTAAAATGACCTTTGACCTTGACTTTGTGACCTGGAATTTGCGTCATAAGATTTGTGATACTTGATAACCCTTGTGTACAAGTTTTATGGAATTTGAACAAACACTTTTAAAATTATGCTAACATTTCGAAATCTTGATGTTGATGCCACAAAAGAGTCTAAGTTTGTTGACCTGAAATGACCTTTAACCTTAATTTAGTGACCTGAAATTCTGCTCACATGATTGGGAATACTTGATACCCCTTAAGTGCAAGTTTCATTGAATAAGAACTTATACTTTCAAAATTATATTAAGAATTCAAAAACTTAACCTGAGGTTAAGTTTTCGATAATGATGCCACAACATAGTCTAAGTCTGAGCTGGGAGACATTGCCAGGCATAGCGCCATAAATCAAAACAAAAAACAAAAAGTGCGCCTTATACACAGAGATTTACGGTACATGTCTGAAATGAATGCACATAGCCATGAATGGTACTTACCAAAGGAGGGGTGGATCTGCGGTTGATTTGTAACAACGTATGTGCCCTCTCAGCAGTAGAGGGGTAGATGGTAATGTCAATGATATCTTGAAATGGAAACGAGTCCTGCACAGCTTCATCCTAAAGTTAAAAACATATAAAGATATAAAAACATTTGTCAGAAAAGGTTGTGACAAATTTATTTCAGAAATGTTGGAAGTATTATAATGCATGACATGCCCACTCCTCGATGTAGATGACCAATGCTGCCTGGAAGACCTGGTGGCAGCGAATGAGTAGGCTCTTCAGTGTGCAAGAGCCTGGCACAACATTTGAACTCAGATGATAGACACGAAAGAAGAACAATGTTTAGCCAGCATCCATACTAACATTTTGGTGCACGTTCATGATCTATCAGAACATGAAATAAACAAGGGAAACGCTCTTGGCGGTCTCGTCTGCAGTACACAATTCGATATGATGAAAAATTGAGGTTGGGACATTATATACAGGCAGGGTGGCCCATTAGCAGGCCCTAAAAAAAGAAAACCCTCTGAATAATCAGCATTTTGAAGTGACTATTGACTAAGAATCATCAGAAGAATTATTTACTATTATTTGTACCAAGATTGATAACTTTAATGAAATATATGAACTAATTTATTGACTTATTAATTCTCATATTAAGTTGTGAAAACAATCCAAGTCTACTGACCTAAAAATGCTAAAATGACATTTGACCTTGGATTTGTGATACTTGATAGCCCTTGGGTACAAGTTTCATAGAAATTATTATTTGAAATTATGCTAAAAATTCGAAAACTTGATGTTGATGCCACAACAAAGTCTAAGTCTGCAGACCTGAAATGACATTTGACCTTGACTTTGTCACCTAAAAAGACTAATCACATGATTGATGATACTTGATAACCCCTATGTTCAAGTTTCATGGAATAGGATACTTTTAAAACTATGATAAAAATTCAAAAACTTAACCTTTGGTTAAGTTTTTGGTGTTGATGCCACAACATAGACTAAGTTTGTTGACCAGAAATGACCTTTGACCTTCACTTAGTGACCTGAAATTCTACTCACATGATTGATTGGAGATACTTGATAACCCTTTAGTCCAAGATTCATTGAATAAGAACTTATACTGTCAAAATTATATTAAAAATTCAAAAACTTAACATTGGTTAAGTTTTTGATGTTGCCGCCGCCATCACCCGATAAGCGGCGCCTTTGTCTCACTTTTGCTATGCAGGCGACACAAAAATGAGAGTAACCAGGCATTTCAAAGAGATATAATCAGGGAATAATTTTCTTCAAATTTTTTGATTAGCAATTTCAGCCGATGGATAAATATTTCAAATGAAATTCTGTACATTTCTATGGAAGAAAACTGCTACACAAAAGATATTTTGTATAGCAGTCATGCAAAAATGCATAGCAAATTGCGATGCGATACCAGGAAAATTATTCCCTGATAATGGAACAATTTTTTACATTTTTCAAGGTTCACACATGCGAGCATTTTTAAGTTTGCCCGCATTTTCAGCATTCATTGAAGCAGCACATGCAAAATTATCAAATGCTTGAAATGACCCGAAACATGTAGAAAACTTCAAATTTTGAGCAATTGGAGCATTTTAAAACTTTGATGCATACATAGTTACATAGCCATACGTTTAAGGCAGTCATGTATTACAAACTAATGGATGACATACCTTAATTTTATGCATACCAAGTTTGATGCAGAAATTGATCCGTTCAGAAAATATTGAACCCTATGACATTACACAGGGACAATCACATACAAAAGAGGGGATCCACTATTCCAGAAGATAGGGAATCATCCTAGAAACTTTTGTAGATTTTGGCGTTTATTATTTAGAAGATAGCCCAACCATAAAAAGGTAAGAAAGAAATAATACTAAAGATTCTGATGAAATCAACAGGTTATCTTATGCTACACAGTAGATAACCTAATAACTGCCACAGGGGTACTATAAGGGCACTGCCCTCAGCCCCCCCCCCCCACCCTAGGGGTATATATTTTATTCAACATATTAAGATCAGCCTCACCAAGTATCTCTTTGGCCTCACCTAAGGATCCTCCCTACCAAGTTTGGTTAAAATCTGGCATTGCATTTTTGAGAAGTGAAAAATGTAACCAGAAGACTTTTTGTGAGGGGGAGCCCTTAAAAAAAATTGTTAGGTAACCCAATTTTTCAATGGTTTTAGAAATTGTTGCCCATGTTCAAACTGCAAAAATAAAATCATTAAATACATGTGATACAGAGATGCCAACCTCTTGACACAAAAAAAACAGACTGAATATCCTAAAAAATCTGAAATGATGAAAACTCGACACTACAGTACTACTGGCCCGTGGCTAACGGCCAGACAAATGTTTTGCTGGTAAGAACGGGTAAGTAAAATGTTCACTCTTTTATTAACATTTAATGAGAAATTGTAAAGCAAAGTTTTTGTTTGGGTTGCAGGGATTTACATGTACATGTACTTACATGTATACATGTTTCTATGCAAATCCGCGGTTTATATGTTTTTTTTTAAAGATGAAAAGTCATATTTTCAAGAGGCGATATCGTATTTCACTTTTTTTTTATTGTACCTAATACGATAAAATCATACCGGTTGGCATCTATGTGTGATACATTTCAGTGTAATTTTGTTCACATGATTTGGCTATGAAGGGCTAAGAACTACATGTAGGAACTATGGCTATGAACGTGGCTAAATTTGAACCTATATTTCAGTATGGAACAAAGGGAGACCTACTCACCAGGGTAATTATGCAAACGCCAATTTGTTCTCAATTTGGCAAAACATTAGATTTTAAAAATTCATAAATTCCACAATACATTTTTCTCTAATTTTCAGAAAACTTCTCCTCCTATATTCTGTTCATTACACCAAACTTATCATCAAGTTGTACTTCCCTTTAACTTAATACAGAAGATATCCATGTACAAGCACTCAAAATAAAAAGTTTTTTCTCCCCCAATAATTGGATATCCTTCACAGGCATTTCCCTGACCTAGTCTAACAATAGCTTTGCAGCTATAAGTGAATGCCAAGCACCAAGACAGTGGCAGGTCAAAAATAGAAGCTGTTTTCCTATGACTCACAAACAGCCCTTATATCATGGAAAGGTAAACAAGCAAAGGATGTAAACAAGCAACTTTCACAAGGGAAGTAAGGTGTGCTAAGTGATGAAGATAGTGTGCTACAACAAAAAAACACCGTGTTGATAAGAATTAGTGTTGGCTACATATATAATATTCAGATTGTGTCCAGCACAAGTAATCTCTCTCCTGCTTTGTTGGGCTCTCCAAGCCTATACTTTCAAACAATTCCAGGTACCTGAGGTGCTGTGGAAACTACAACTTATTGATGTTGTTCAGACAATTCCTCCATGTCCTCTTCTTCTGCTTCGGTGGTTGGAGTATTCACCTGAATGCCATTACATTATTTGGATGTCCCTTTATTCTTTCAGTGATGATTTGTCATTGATAGGGTCAGTTGGTGATCAATAAATGTTCAAACGATAGCCGGGTCTATAAATACAGCACAACTTTTCTTCTTTTTACTGGATTGTTTCCCATTAGGTTTTAAAGCCCATTCACACAGGACATTTTTTTGCAATCAGCAAAAATTTGTTTACATACAAACTTGCTGTGCTGTGGAGTTTTCCCCCCCCCCCCCCCCCCCCCCCCCCCTCTGCCCCACAGCATTTTTACACATATCTGATCAGGGGGTAAATACATGTACAGTCAAACCTGCTTTAGTGACTACCTGTCTATAAAGACCACATATTTTGTTTCCCTTGAAAATGGTTTCTCATTGAAACATGTACTAAAGGAACCTGTACAAAGACCCCTTTTTGTGTTTCCCTTGGGCGGTCGCTATAGACTGGTTTGACTGTACATCATGTAGTAGCAATCTAAGGTTGGACTTTCAATCTATTTTAAAGTTGGGTTCAAAGAGTAGACCAGTTTAATAGTTGATGGGTGAGCAAGTTTAGAGTAGAGGTGCATTGATTTTTTAATATGTAATTTGTATCATTGCATATTAGGGAGAATTAGATCGAACAATCAAAATTCCCTTGGTGGAAAGTTTGGAAACATGTATGCAAAGTAACAATTATTATCATTCAAAACGGTAAAATACCGCCCCACATCTGCACTTGAAGAGCTAGCTGAACATGGCCGAGATTTGTGACGTCGCTCAAGGGACCAAATTAGCTTAAAGCAGATAATTTTCCATATTACAATGCACACATTTTCAGTGCCTGTTTTGTTGTCTCCTCTTTACTTATTTCTCACTGCAAATTTTTTTGTTTTTGTTTGGGGGGGGGGGGGGTTCGTAATGGAGGCATAAAAACCAAACAAAGACAAAAAGACAAAAACAACATGAACAGGTTACTATATCATCCTAATTCTAGCACATTCCATTTTTTGCGAAATCTATGCATGGATATCCTTATAACAAATATATTTTACTGTAAGGTATGTTTGGTTTAATTTGATAAAAAAATTAATTAAAAGAAGGGAGTATCTCAAGAAATCTACATAAATATAATGTTTTCTTTGCAATGATAATACAATGATTCAATAGAGCATGCTGTTTGTCTTGTATTCCAAACAAGATCTCCTCATCTGTCAATTGTAACCTTTCTTTATTAAATCTTGTATACCACCATCTTAAAAATTCGTTCAAGTAATCTCATGTATATAAACATTCTACAAACAGGTGCTCAATCGTTTCTGGCTCTTGTTTACAGAAAGAACACATTTCATCATCTATCACTTTCATTTTTTCAGCTTTGCATTTACCAGTAAGCATCATGTATTTATTTTATATTGGAATAACCTAGTTCTTGTATCAGGAATAATTCTAAAAGGTAATTCATATATAAAATCACAATCTTCTTTATTTATTTCATATTTTGATCTCCAGTAGGTTTCTGAAGTAGGCTTTTGATATTTGTTTTCTTTTATTATCATATTGATCATCTATGGGTGTATATAAATTTGTCTATTACGAAATATAATACAAGTATCCAGCTATTTTGATAAATGCCTACATTGTACTTTCAATACACTGAGCTTTCAACCTCTGTGGAATGGCAGAAACGACTGAGCACCACAGAAGATAATTCTCAAAACCAATCTGTTGCTACAGTACTTGGCAAAAACAATTAATTTTCCATTTGCATCAAACAAATCTTCTACATACTGTATACCATATACCAATATCAAATACCGGTAAGTCTTTTACAAACCAGCTATTCTTATTTGTCTATTGTTTCATATTACTTTCTTGGGAAAGTTGATTATTGTTACACAGTTCTCTAAAGTCAAAATATGCATATAACCTAAGTTATAAAGAAGGTAGATGTCTTAATTTTGAACAATCTTTTTTGTCAAAGTTGCAAGAAAGTAAAAATTGTCCACCATATTTTCTTGTAAAGTGATTCAAAAATATTTTCAATGAAAAAGTCTTACTACAATTTTATTCTGAGTGCCTTAAACATTGAATGAATGTCTATCATATTCAGACCCCTTTTAGAATACGGAGCAATCAATGACGATTTTTTTTTAAAAATTCCTTTTTCCGTTCCATAAAATACATGTATAGTTTTTCTAATTCTTCCACCACACATTCAGGGACAGGTAAAACTGATGCACAAAAAAACGAATTTTGACAATGCAAAAGTTTTTAAAAATTTGTATTTTTCCTATTAAGGGAAGATTTCCTTTTCACCATACATTTTACAATATCTTAAAGGTAAAGACAAGTAATGGAAACGCCCCAATTTCAAAAAATGAAATGGAAGCTCTTATTACCAATCATGTCAAAGAATATGTTTTGACTAATACATGATGATAAAAAATTTGCCGGGAAACCGCCTACTAATTCATATATTTGGTAAATTTGTTTCTCTCATGGTCTGTGAGAGATATAGGGTAGACCCATATACATCTTTCTGTGTATAGTGCTTGTAACTTTACGAAGAATGGGCCAAATTTCTTATCATTTTGATGATTCCGGAACCTTGCAGATGCTAGATGCTAGATGATCAACCTTTTCTGATCGATTCCACAACGTTTCTTTCACAATACAATCGCATGACCATAACTGGTCTTTACCTTTAACATCTTTAATACATTTATCAAGAGTTCCTACATACAGGAAGAAATTTTGTAATGGACCAAATCCGACCAATGGTTGAATATGCACGATTCATCAGGAGAGAATGGGTACACAAACACACACACACAAAAAAAAAAAAAATTATCACTGCGAAAATATATATATATTTTTTTTCTTCCATATTTTCAATTTCAATGCCAGCTGCCATACTCACCCCATATGTTAGCTTCTTCTTAGTGACTCCTTTGACTCCACTGACTTCATAGATATCTCCATTTGCCATCGTAAATTGTTCAGTTCCCCACTCTTGTTTCATCTCTTCACTAAGAGACACAAGAAACATCACTCTGAAAGCAAATGTTTCTCTTGGATCATCGCGGAAATCTGTGAGAGCAGTCCGTACTTTTCGTCTCAACTTTCTCTTGTCCCACCATGAGAGCCCCTCATTTAGGGACTTTGGCAAGAAGCGCCCAAAGCGCAATCTCCCGTTCAGGTTGGTCAACGAGGTCCCGTCCTCTTTGACATGTTGCATGAAGTCCAGTACCATAAGACCTAATGATTCCTCAGTGCTTAGCCCCATGAACTCGTCATTCAGGAAACTCTCTCTGTACTGGCAAAACATATAGTTGACAACATTCTCTTCCAAGAGCATGAACCCCTGTGCATCACCTGAAGGACACATGGTGGCCGTATGAAACCTCACCCGGTACTCCAGCTGCTCTGACTTTCTCTGTCTCCTGGAAAACACTTGAGCCTTTGGGCACAACCACTTCTTGTTGGTCTTATCATAGAGTGCAAAGAGATTGCTTGTTAGACGGGGAATGCCACACAACTTGGCTGCCTTTATGCATACCTGCTCCACAGTGAGCCGTTCACGCCATGGGAGCACCAGATTTCCGCACATGTAAGTACGGACTTCCACAATGTCTGGCTCCATTCCGTTAGGCAAGCCCGGAGATTCCCGTGAACTGCGGATAGAGGGTAGGCGCAGCATGTTGACCATGTGTCTAATGCTCACTTTCTGTGTCATCAATCAAGCTTATCCCAAATTTGAAAATGATGAGTGTCGACCAGACAAACCTTTATTTGGATCATGATATTGCACATTAAAAGTTTAAAATTCCACTGCAGTTAAAGTTTAGATCAAGGAATCACTGCACAGTCTGTATCACTCTCATTTTCTGTATCATCATCTGAACACACTCTACCAAACATTTCCATCCCAAACTATAAAATCTGAGCGAGTAGAAGGATGTTTGGCTGAGGCTACATGTATCTTCATGTTCAATCTTGGCTAAATCCTGTGACATCCACGCCATCAAAGTAGGAACTACAGATAAAGAAAAGAAATGTATGGAAGAGATAATAATAATAACTTGCACATTGTTAGAATTTCTTACAAAGTATAATCTGGCAGTATCTTCAACATTGAAAGATTTTTATAAATGGAACTGTTTTTGATATTTTGTCATCTTACCCATTTCTACTTAAAAAATAAAAAATAAAAAAATAATATTTTGTCATCTTACCCATTTAAAAATATATTCATAGGAACCCATTCAAATTTTAAGGCGTGATGGTACTCATTTCATTATATTTATTTCACTTCAGATTGCTAATAAGAAAAACAATTAACATTCCAGTTGACGGATAATGAAAGAACCTGCAATTTCATAGGATGTAATTCCATACTATACATATCTATAATTCTTTTACCGATGTGCCTATGAAAAAAAACATTTATAACATACTGTATTTGTCATATTTTGCTTAAATTTCTTTTTATCACAGTTCAGTTGAATATACAGAAAAGCGAATTAAACATGAATCTTAAATAGTTGTTTTTAAAATTTCAGAAGATATTGTGTGGACAAAGATTTCAATCAAAACACCACCATTTTCTGGTAATTCGGTTACCAATGTACATGTATATACCACAATATAATTAATGTAAGTGAAACATTTCTGGAATGAAAGAGTTCAAGGGAAAGAATAAGTAAATTTGTTTGCTTGTTTGTTTGTTTTGTTTTACCTGACTGCTTTTAGAAAGCAAATGTATGCTTGTAAGTAAGCAACCAGGGGACCGACGGCTTTAAGTCCTCTCCAAGGGACTTGGTAATGAGGATTAATGCCTAACCAAAGGGCACTGGCACATCGACTTGGTTTCGAACCTGGGACCCCCCCGGTAACGAGACCACTGCTCTACCACTGTACCATCGCGCCTCCCTTTGCAGATTGTTATAATAATAATCTTTTTTTTAAAGTCCACTGCAAATTGTATTAAACCGAAACGGAAATTCTTTTTGCCCAATTGATCATGAGCCCGGCAGCCACTGAGCAGCGCCAGATCAACGTTGCTCTATCCCTTATTGTTGAACGCAAAACAAGGTAGCAGCAGCTCCCATCTTTTAACGTCTTTTGGTAGGTGAGCAAAAAAAAATCTGACTTGTAATTCAGTTACTGTGGAATCGCCAGATACAAAACAATATGACTGCAACATTACTAATTACCAAACCAAAATTATTCATGTTAATGTCATGCAGGACTCCTTGTTGTATATGATTCCCATGTGTGAGTTACAATGACATTTCTCCTGAATTAAAAAAAAAGATTGCAAATTAATTTGTTTCCACTTAAAAAGATGTATAAAATTGTAAAGCAAACAATAGAGCAATGATGCACAGGAAACTGAACCAAATGCAGTCAATTCTGACCAATATTTGCAATTTGAAATTCATGCTAATGCTTGACCAGTTTTGCCAGCACATTTAACAATGAATGCCTGACATTTCTGTGAAACACATGTTAGGTTCACACGGCAGTCCATTAACTTTACGTTTTAATAGATCGTAGTTATCTTGTAGTCAGGGTCCTTGCGGACACATTCGTGGTTAAGAAACATGTACTTTACCGAGTACTGGAAATTATAAAACCACAAGTATTAGCTAAATAACTACGGGCAGCAGAATGTCCTCATTCAAAGTTATGTGTTGTGTGGACGCAATTAAGGTTTCGCCAGCAGCCGGCTTGTAGCTTAAAACATTGAATAATTGTTGTTTTGGTCTTGTGTGAACCCCAGTGTTGTTGATGGATCATGGTTTAGTTTGATAGTTCCTTGTGAACAGTAATCCCCTAATGTGGTTGACAAGTAATATCAGTCATATTAAAAGTAAGGCGACATCATACTTACCGGTACATGTACAAGTACACTTTACATACAAAATAAATATCATGCAAACATGCATGGTTTTTTGTTTTTTCCTTTGGTAGAAGAGTACAAATAATATCGGTCGTTCGTTCCTTCGTGTCTCCTTAGATCAAGATTAATCTTGATCTTCGGAGTAGTTGCTACAACCAGCCATGTCGGACACGTTGCCCCGGGGTGCAAGATAGGACTCTTGTAGCATGCCCCCATATCGGTAAAGCGCTTAGAGATGATATTCTGTATTTAAGCGCAATATAAATCCAGATTTATTATTATAATCTATTATTACCTGTATCAGACATCTGAGCAGTGGTTTTGCAAAATCATATTACACTTGTTGTAATCCTAAAAGAGATAATCAGTAAATATGAGACCATATTACCATCTCATGAAAAAGCCTAAGGACTTTACGTGTTAAAAAAGCAGGAAATAAAGACCGCGCCGTATTGTGTCTCAATGCACACTTATTATGCATACGAGAACCTGCACACTTCACGCACTCTATTGTGATGTAATAATCACACCAAATTGGGTACACTGTTTGCAATGTATCAAAAATTTTGTCAAGCAGCCTGGATGCACAGTGCTGGTTTGACAAAGTTGTTTCAGTTCTATGAGATTGTCATGTATTTATTTGCTGTAGATGCCTGATTTGGATAATAATAACAATATTGACTGGCTTAACTTTCGAGAGATACCACATATTGCCCTCACAAGACCTATATTGCCCTCGTCTTTGACTCGGGGCAATATGAGTCTAGTTTGGGAAATATATGTGGTATCTCCCTCAAGGCCAGTCCATATTATATAATTATTCCAATGTTGACCAATTTCCATGCAGTATTTTGTAAATCACAATCAACAGATCACTTCAGGTAACAAAACAAAAATTAGAATGAAACTTTCCGATTACACTGTACTACATGCTTCCTTTGCTCCGATGTTTCAAAAGAAGAATACATGTACGTGTACATGTACATGTAAATGTATTAACGATAATTTTCAGCACGCTAGACGGGACATCCAACCCTAATTTTTTATGTTTTTACATATATTTGCCTTTTGCTGCGCCCACATGTCAGGTTAAAAGGCATCACATAATGCCAAGAATATCTTCATTTATATATCTCTTGCACATTTTTGTTAGGAATATTAGGAATATGCTCATCTTTCAGATTACCTACACTTATCCTTTGGGGAGAGGTTTCCTATTTAATAATTACTATCAAAGTAGCTTGGCGAAGAAATATCACATAATCACTAAAAATGGGCAAATTATACATGTCCAGATAGCGTAGACCAATTTGAACACACCCATTCTGCTCCTAAGTCTTGTAAATATGAATGAAACGCAGTGAGAAGCTTTTTCCAAGAACCTTTTCAGAACTTCTATTCCTGGCTTGAATATTTTGTTCACGCAGTAGGCCGATTATGACGTCACTGGTTGGGCACGATCGCAATTCTAGGCCTCAAGCTCGCCTCTCGTACAGCTCGCGTGCGGTATTTTGCATAGGCCTATACGTACACATTATCCAGACTTTGCATGCTTCATATCCTGACCAGAAAGTGGAATAACAATCTTTAGAAATCATGTTATTACATATAATATTAAGCAAATTTATGTAATATAATACAAAGGGTGAATCCTGTAATTCGATTAGTCCAAATACCCTTCCGTTCTGTGCAATTTGCTGAGATGTTTTGTATTTGGATTTGTTCGATCATCATGCCTTGGCGGCCTTGGCATGATAGTGATTGCTGTTGATGATATACGGAGACCACGATGAGTGAATCGCGAGCGTCCCTTTGCATTTTTATGATGTCCTGCAGCTGCAGTTCTATTTATGAATGGTGCATATTTGTAATTGATTTTCGCCAAATATAATCTCACATCTAATCGTCTTTGTTTTGTTAACCGTGAAATTTGCCAAAAAGCCCTACACATCCCGAAAAATTAGAAAATGTCTCGCCTAGTCATCCCAGTGACAGGGTGCACGACAGATCGATCGCCAGTGGAGCGGGGCCGGGGGAGCTGAGCGGCAGCTAGCTGGCAGCTCAGCCAGCTCGTGCTGATATGCTATCACTTGACCTGCACCAGCATCGACGCCGTCTTCTCCAAATTGTTCTCTTTCTTACATCTCTCCTACATCCCCATCATCATCATCGTCAATATCACTATCATTAGTTGTGGAGCTGTGCTCATTAACTTCAAAAATTTCTAAATCATGTAAAACCTCTTCTTCGAGCTCTGACATTTTGATCAGATATTTAGCGTTCGAGTGGCGTTTGTATACGTATAATGCATGCAGGCGAGAGTTGTGTGAGAGCTCGCGCTCATGTGCCCAACCTCATACGTCACAAATCGTACGTCACAATAGAGGGCCAATCAAGGGCGGAATAATCGGGTAGTAATTTCACCACTTTTAATAGCAGATAAGTCAATTCTGTAACAATTTTTGAAAACTAAATATGAACCAATAGAAAGATTGTAACATTAACTTTGCAATGATACCAACATCATTAAGGTTAAAAGCCTTTTGAAACCTTCGCTCAGCTACTTTAAACAAAGCAGAAAAGTCAGAGGAGCAGACTGGTAAAAACTTGAATGAATGGAGACACAAAAAATGAAATTTATTTGTTTGTGGAAGTTATGATCCTTGTATTGCAAAACAACTTTCCAACTTCTTACAACACACAAAATTACTCAAAAGTGTTTTATCTTTTGGGAGAACCAATCATCAGATGCTATTCATGATATATATTTGAGAAGTGCACAAAGGAAGAAGGTGCTTAGAAAAAAAATTAATTACGTTTTTGTACATGGCAAACGGGAGAGGTGTCCATGAGTCCTTGTCTAAATCACAATCCACTAACCTAATTTCCAATGCGAAATTTTAGCGATGTATATTTCAAATATTTGTATCTTTCTTATTATTGGTCCGATTTGGTTCAAACATTTGCCATTCTGTGTATCTTTTTTCTGCTTTCGTATTAAATGAACTCACTACAAAGTTTAGATTGCCATTTAGTCCTAACCAAATTATAATCAGTTAAAATGTTATAATAATAATAATAATAATAATGGTGGCTTTTTATATAGCGCACATGTCTGTCACGTTGTGACGCTTCTGGCGCTGCCCCGATTATTACCCTGAAATGTCAATGTTTAAATAATCACATTTTGTAATGTACATGTAAATGTGTGATTTGATTTATGGGTCAAATAATAATAGTGGATTCTTGTATATATATAGCACTGTCTGTCATATTGGACATTCCTGGCGCTCCATAATTATTACCATGGCTTTACATGTAGTATGGCTACAATTATGGCGCTCAAGCATTTCATGGACTTAATTCCTGCCAGGTACCCATTAGCCTCACCTACATGTAGGTCAAATGTGACAATGGGTCAAATGTACATGAACATGAACTTGAGATTACCTTACCATTAGATTAAATTTAAACTTCTCTTTTTCCTTCTCCTTCTTTCTTTTCTTTACCACTGGCTTTGACCGATGAGTAGATGTCAGGGCTGTCAAATTTGGGGAACTGCTTCGAGGGAGGTGATATGCAAATTTTTGTTCTGCTGAATGGTAGTGGCGTACGCAAGATTTTTTCAAGGGGGGGGGGGGGGGCGGTGTTTTAAAATTTGAAAAATCGCGCCAAAGATTTCGCAACGACTCAGCCAGCCGCTGCGGGGGGGGGTGTAAGAGCACATTTTTTTATCGTCCGGGTTTTGGCGGGAGGTTTTTTAATAAGCCGGGAGATTCTACCTCGAAGCGGGAGAGCGGGAGAAAAGGCGTGCTGGCGGGAGTCTCCCGCTACAAGTTATTGGGACGGCGGGAGGATGAGCATGGTGGCGTGAGACTCCCCCCAAATGCGGAAGGGTTGACAGCCCTGTAGATGTACATGATGCTATGCAGTGATTTACTCTATTTCAGGGAAAAAATACTTTAATCACTGAGCTCTTTCTACTAAATTGAAGTCTACTGCCTAAAAAAATTTCCTTGCTATAAGTCTGGCCTTTTATTCAATAGTCACCCATTTCTATAGTGACACCTGTAACATTACTAGAGTGCCACACATACTTTCTCTGGCAAGCACATTCCACACCCTATGTGTTGGGATGTGCAACCACCTAATGTACTGGTATAGATACATGCATATTACACTTGCTTGTCACACCTATTTTAATCACTCCTCCTAAGCTGTTCTTATAGAGCACACGTCTTTTAGAGAGAGTCGACACCGAGGCTAATTCAGCTTCATCATAATTCATGTCTTATTTTTTCGCTCGATTCTCTACTCGGTTCTAAGGCCTTATAACTTTATTGAGATTACAAGTTTCTTCTCCCTTACTTCATCCACAAAGAAGCAACATTACTTTGTAAATATATATATTCTTTCTACAGGTACTGTGCAATATTTGAAAGACTACCTATAATTCACCTTGCTAGATAATTAGTCCCAACAATAAGTGGCTCACTAATTGATACCGGTTTCAACATGTGTTGCTACAAGACAAGGTAGGAAAGAAACCACTTTCTATTTCCTTTATTTAGGTGACCAATTCCCTAAAGCAACATGAAAATATTTCTCTTCCATGTTTTTTGGGTTCTATATTGACAATAAGAGCAGGATTTTGATTGGGTGTATATTTTTCAAGATTGGTTCAACTGCTATTAGCAAGTATTGTTCTTATAAAGCTATTGTTTTTGCCCATCCTATAGAAACAAAAAATAGATAGTGGGCAGGGAAAAAATCTAGGAATCAATTTCATTGGCTTTAGCAGTAAAAAAAAAAATGCATTCAACTGTTAATTACGAGACAAATCATCAATGTATCATAATCATCACACATGATAAATGGTTTAGAAGCACTGTACACTATATTCCTATCCATTATTCTTCCATGCAGACTTAGGCAAACTGCATGCTTGGAATATCTAGTTAGTGCGTCCATTTATGGAGAGCCAAATGGCAACCTCTTCAATCTGTACAGATTACAGTAATTCCCTAACCCCAGCTTGTAATAAACAAAAATCATCATCATGAAAGTGATTTCGCAATTTCATTTCATGCCTTATTTGTTGAAGTTCTTATTGTTGCAGTTAAAGATAAAGGTGAGTTCTGGTAATTATGCGATTGCATTTTGAAAGAAAAGGTGTGGAATGGATCAGAAAAAGTTGATCCATGTAGCATGTAAGTATTGGTGTGCACTGCAAGGTTCTGGAGTCAGCAAAATCGTAATAAATTTGGCCCAGTCTTGGTAAACTAACAGGCACTGTACACAGAAAAATGTATATGGGACTACACAAATGGTGTTGGGCTACCTTGATTTCCTTATTTTTCTATGCTCATTACTCAGCCAGTATACATTTTCTTCCAAAATTGTTTGGCACATGACATTTATTTGTAATCTTGAACATTCAGTGTAAGTTTTGTTTGATTCTGTGAGAATTCATTTTCTTTTTTTTTACCAGAACTCAAATTTATCTTGAACATTTTGATACAACATGTTAGTTATTATTGGCATAAGCCTATACAGTAGAGAACAGAGACTGACTTGAAACCAGGCCTTCCATTCTTCAGTGAAATAACAAGTTCATACGCCACATTCAATAATGAACATCCACTCTCTAATCTCCTTTATGATTGCCTCAATAATTAGATAACACACAGACAGCTGTCCCTTTATATTGAAAACACACTGTGCAAACAATCACACATTCAGAACTAGGTGAGAGCATTACAGGCAAAAAACCAAAATGACCTGCCTTAGTGCCTAGACATAAAAAGCACTGAGTAGCTTACACTGTACTTACATGTTCACTCTACTACAACAAAGACACAGATCCTCTCCTGATAAATAACCCAAGAACATGATTGTAAACAAGCACTACACTGCAGACAATGCAGCTTAGCAAACTGCCATACCAGTAGTCAGCAGGAGTACATTCACAACAAGTTGTGCTGTGCCAGGATTGCATGAGACTAGAGCAGCAAGGATAGCTTCCTACTCTGAACACAACTATAGTGAGGTCTAACCATGAACCTGGCATGATAGTGGAGCTAATATATCAACCCTATCTCACTGACATGGAGTGAGCGCGCACACACACACATATTAATGTTGCTGTGTGTATTAGAATAATACAAACAGCTGGTAGTAGTCTGTCCACACTGTCCACACATCTACCCACATATACATGTATGTACATGTATATTGGGTGTACACAATCAACCTCAATTATTAATATGCTGCCATTATTGTATTATGCACATCATGTAATATACATATGTGTAAATATAGGTTCTTCAAGAGTTAATGTATGTTTTACACATTCAAACAGTGTGTGCAAGTAAAATGACATATTGAATGGGAGTGTGCATGTGTATTAAAATCTGTGCAACCCCCCCAAGGACAACTACCCCCTAGGATAGTTGTCCTAGAGGATGGTTGTCGTAGGGGGTAGTTGTCCGGGGAGGGGGGGGGGTAGTTGTCTGGGGGGGTAGTTGTCCGGAGATAGTCGTCCTAGAGGGTGGTTATCCGGGGGGGGGGGGGGGGGGGGTGGAAGTCCAGGGGGTACATGTATGTGTCCTAGAACCCTTGTTCACATATCTTGCACAAATTTCGAGCAGCGCATTGTGTACAGTGATGCCAAATAAACGATCTGTACATAGTATTATGATGTCATCAGCCATTTAGAGATTGTGCATCCACCAAGCCGTGAAGCAGTATAGCTCACACGTGTATGTAGATTCCAATGGTTGGGAAAATGTTGTGCTATATAGTATTTACGTTCAAGGCAGCCATGACAATGTCGCACCAATTTTTTTCTTTTTTCTGACACAACTCTTTGCAGAAAATGCAGCTCAAATAAATACCGGGTATTTGAATAAAAATGTACAATTCACTGAGTTGTGATACCGATTTTAATGTGAATTTCACCAAAAAGAGGAATTCTGAGACAATTTTGCAGTAAAAATCATCAGTTTGCAACCAAAGTAAGATCTCACATCTCACATTTTCCAGTGATTAACTAGTGATTTTGTGCATAAGTGTGGTGAATGATACATCTATGTTCATGATTTGGGGAAACTTATGATTCCAAATAATGTGTACAATACATACATGTATAGTAATTTTCAGCTTGAATATACATGTATTATCAAATACATAGATCATACAAAAATGCTGAAGTTGTGAAATTCACTCGCTAATTGCACCACTGCACCACTGCACCACGCCTGTGCTTTGTGGTGACAAACTATAAACACAAATTACAGCACATGCATGAAGGCATACAGTCAACAAACTCTCCTTGTAGATGATATGATATCTATTTTTGAAGATCTTTTTTTTTTTAGACCGTGGTATTTCAAATCTTATTTTTCTTTTAATTTTTTTTTTCTTTCTCCCCAGATGCATCATTGACTAGCAATCTTGAGCATTTACCGGTAGAATAAATTTGTTGGAAATGTGACATATATATGTACTGGTACACATTGGGTAAGTGAAGGCGTTCACTATGAGAAACAGACCATCTTTAATACCTTTGTGTACACAAATGATCCCGGATCCCCTATAATTTACAAAGTGGGCCCATACATTTTTGTTTACATATACATACATGTATATGAGTATCTATGACTTCTTTAGGGCGAGATTTCACAGATGTACCGGCATGCACGTACAGTATAGGTGCAATCGCGAGCAAAGGTATAATCTCTGTTTGTAACAAATGCGTCTTTTAAAAATCTTAGCAAGGGTTAAAATGTGAAAACTCTGTCACCATTTTGATCCAGTAAATAATTTATCATAGCACAAACATTGTCAATATTTTTACGTGGAAAAACAGAAATTTGATAGTTAATTGGAGTACCAACAACCAAAATGTTAAATTCTAGTACATTACACTTGTACAAGTCTACAGAGGTTAGCTCTTGTTCTTTAAATTGTTGTGTGCCTTTTCAATTTCAAAGACGAAACCAGCATCTATGTTGGCCTATCAATAGAATAGTCTGAACGACTATACTGATCAAGACTTTTGCGATCTGATCTTTCTTCCAAAAAGATCGTATGGAGAGGATATCAACATATCCAGCAATACAAGCATGTAAGAATTGCTCAGCCTCAATTAGACTCTGTGACTACATACTCCGGAATCAAACTTAGGCTGTGTTTTGATACCATGTACCTTCATATCAAATTTCATTAAAATCTGTCAAACATTACTAAAGTTATCGATTGGAAACCAGATTTTTTATGAACGGAAGGATGGACGAACGGCGAGGGGATAATTAAGTCTTTTTCACATCAACAAGATTTGATTATTCCTAACATTTTACTAAAAAAATTAAACGTGGAGGTGCAAGCTATTCCGTAAACATTATTATTAATACAGCATGGCTACTTCTCCATTTTGTTGCGTTAAATTCGGCTGTGCAAATCATGACCTTGATTCAAGGGCACATGAGTAATTATCTTTCAGCATGTTCATCATGATGATATCTTTTTTCTGCTCATATAAGGAAAATTAGCAGGCATAATGTCTTGAATATGTCATCACCAAGCACTTATTGACAAAAGAAAAAGAAAGTACTTTATTGATGTTTTAAATACCAGTGTCATCATGAAGTTTTAGATACTGTACTCGAATATCAAGATCGCTATTCATTGTTGGGAGTATATATTTGAATAGTGGATAAAGTGTATCCCAGTGCCGATCGGCGGTAAGCTATATTCAAAAACAACAATGAGAGCTCTTATTTTGGCCCAGTATATCAAAAATCAGCTCTTGTAAAAAGAATGGGGTACATACATAAATATCACTGTGAAATAAATCTCACTTATGAACACAATGCCAAATCCTAAAAGAACTCCTGCAAAGTATTTTATTCACTGTTCTGTGTGCCTCCCCCAGAAATGTGCAGACAGTGCTATAGACCCAAGCATTTTGTATGAAATCCGTCACAGAGCAGACGTAGCGAGTGCTAGATGCACGGCCGGTTGTGACCACAGCTTTATACAGTTTCTATTGGCAACGGGTAAACAATTAGAATTGCGTCTGTGATAGGTAGACTAATCTAAACTCTACTTTGAAATACACTGTATGCATCTATTACTATTAGCCTGTTCAGATTAAAAGACTAATCTAAACTCTACCTTGAAATACACTGTATGCATATATTACTATTAGCCTGTTCAGATTAAAAGACTAATCTAAACTCTACCTCGAAATACACTGTATGCATCTATATTACTAATACGCAAAATCGCCGCGGGGGGTCCAAACGGGTACAAAACGGTTCCTCAAAAACGTCTTTCCCCGACCCCGCCCGCCTCCGCCGTGGCGCGGGAACGGTGGCGCAATTCCACGAGGCCTGTCTCCCGTAACCCGCGTGCCACCTCGACCCCGCGATCGACGTCCATGCCGTTAAACGCGGTTTCGGGGTGCCGGGGAGGACGGGCGGACGAGAGCACGGCGGGCGTCGTGGGTAGCAAGTAGGCGACGAACCTGCGAGAGCGAGTCGGCAAGGCGTGCACCCGCCCTCTGCATGTCTAATCAAAGAGAGACAAAGAGACACACGATGGAGGTGAATCAACTCGCGTCAACGGGTGTAGCAAATCTAATTGCAACGGGTGCGACGTTCCCTGAGTAAGGCATCTTACAATAAGATATCCTTTGTAGACCGGGCGCCCATAGTGTACGTGTATAACAGGCTGTCTCAGGTCAAACACATGCACACGTACACAGTACAGTCGATTCGAGTCGAGGCGATTGCTACAACTGGCGCAAACCATGGACCTATTTTCACGTAAAATCTTTACTCTGAAAATAATTATACAAATTCTGTGATCTATGCCAACATAATCATAGTCCAAGCTTCTGTTTTATTGGCCTTTTCATGAAAACTACATCGAAATCACAACAAGAATAGCGCAAATAGATCTGTGATAGTACGCCTTCACGTGACTGACAGTTAGTTGCAAACTGCCTGAGTCCACACAGTGTATTGCCACCGCAGCTGAGCGCTGCTGTCGGCGGTGCTGTCGGAGCGCCTGAGTGTGTGAGCGGTGACCGGAGTAGCCAGGCCTGTCCGTGGTGTGAGGAGAGTCTAAACAACACTTTGAAATTGCTATTATTGCCCCGATTTCAATATAGTTTCGTGAATAGATGTATGAAACCTGGGCTTAGATTGTGATTATTCTGGCCATGTATAGTTGTATACTGAATTTCGATAATCATTTTTCAAAGTAAAGTTTTCACAAGAAAATCAGACGGTCGTCATGGTCGTTTAAAAACATGATAATACTTTTAGTATGATACAGTTCTTGCATCAAATCAATTTTTTAAAGTATGGGGGGGGGGGGGGGTCAGGTAACTCAAAGCGATTTGAGTGCAGGCGTGGTGTCCACGGGTACAAAGGGCTGAACCCCCGAAAGCTCAGGGGTTTTAGGCATTTAATTACGGTCAGATGAGCATATTTTTAATACCTTATTTGTGACACTGAAAAAAGTAGCCCCCAATAATTTTCCCAAAATTTGATATAGATCGAGTCCCCGAAAAAAAAAAATCTTTCACTGGATTCTACGCTCACAGTCCCACACACAGTCGAGTCAATTTGTGCACAAACCATCCGATTTTTCGCGTAAAATCTTTACTTTGAAAATAATTATACACATTTTGTGAACATGCAATGCCAACATAATCATAATCCAAGCCTCTGCATAATGTAGTCTTTTCATGAAACTACATTGAAATCACAACAATAATAATGCAAATAAATCGTAATTATCGAGATCCTATCTGACATAGTTTGTTTTACGATGCGCCATTCATGGTCAAACAGCATATATTATAAAAATTCTCTATATAAAGATAATCTAATTTTTTTTTTTGGATAGCACATAGGCCTCTATCTATCTATCTATTTGGCCCCCTCCCCTAGAATCCCGTGGATTTTCCACGGGTCCTGCTAGTATATTACTATTAGCCTGTTCAGATCAAAAGACTAAACTAAACTCTACCTTGAAATACACTGTATGCATCTTTTACTATTATCCTGTTCAGATTAAAAGACTAATCTAAACTTTACCTTGAAATACACTGTATGCATCTACAGTGTATTACTATTAGCCTTTTCAGATTAAAAGACTGATCTAAACTCTACTTTGAAATAAACTGTATGCAATTATTACCATTAGCCTGTTCAGATTAAAAGACTGATCTAAACTCTACTTTGAACACATGAAGAATCATTGTATGGCGAAGGATCATACACACTAGAAAACAACATCATATAAAGAAATACATTTTGGAGAGAACAGCTGGCCAATGTCAATTTTGGTATGATACAATGTTCAGACTACAGCCGGACTCCGATTCTCG